CAACTGATTTACATTTTGATAAGCATCAGTGAACAGATGCCAGATGTAAAGCGGTTGCATATGTGTAGATTTCATACATTCAATGAATATGCTAGGTTGTCAGTGATGCTGTTCTTCATGCGCTGAGCCTTGAAGGAATATCATTGTTTTTGTTTCTCTCCCAGGATTTTGCCTGAAAATGGGTTGCCATGCATCTTATCTGTCAGAGGGATCAGGTGCATCTTTCTCTCTTTTCCTCCCCCCCTTCTACCCTTCCCCCTCCTTTTCTGTACAGCCTGTACTTCTGATAGGTAGAGACAGCCATCATATGTGCAAGGGGAAAGTGATGGGCGGAATGGCAACTTTAATATCGGAGCGATTGCCTGCTGATAAGGCTAACGGCTGTGGAGAGGCGTGAGCGTCAGCCCTCCTCCACAATAAACACTTTCATTTTGTTTGGTTGGAGTGACGGATGGAGTGATGGAAATGGTGAATATAGACGACCTGAGGAAAAGAGAAAGGAGGGGCAGATAGATGCAATGAATGGGGGAGTTATTCAATATTAACAGATCAATCAGAGGATGGTGAAATATGCATTTTGTCAACTATATACCCCCATTTGGCCAAAGAGGCAGCATAATGATCATGTGACAGCATTGGCTGCTGTGATGTGTTGAAATACAAAATACATACAGCCTGCAGTGGGTGATTTGTCTCCTGATGCTGAATTTATATTGCCTCTAACAGTAACAACCCTGTCATATATCAGAAAAATGAATGTATATATTCATGACTTTAAGCTCTGATGACTTCATGATAATCATTTGGGAATTGCTATTAGAATCCATGATGAACAATGCACAATTGCCTCAGTTTGGAGCATATGGCAGAGAAAAGCTGCATTTTAATCAAATTATACCTTGCCACTAGATACATTTTGTTAAGAGCACATGCTGCAGAGCTCTTTAAAGGTCACATAAAAGTCTAACTTAAATGTCTCCTTTGCTGTTTTTCTCTCTTCTCCTTCATTAGTGTGCATGTCAAGGAAAAGCAGCTGAACTCTCAATCAGCCTCTAGATTGATGATTGAAATGGCCTTTTCTCTTCTTCAACAAGTCCCTGATGAGTCTTTGAAGTATGTCTCTGTTCTCCAGCTCTACAGAGACTGTGACTACAGCTCAGTAGTCAAACATTTTCCCCTAGGCATTGCCTATTTTCTGTAGCATAAATCGACTTATTTCAATAGGTGAGATACTTGGACCGAAGCTAAAATAATTAAGGCTGAATGTTGTTTGGCAGCAGTGATTGTGTTTTATGTGACCGCACTTGAAGGCAAAGGACGCTACTTTAAATGCTTAATGCTCACTTAGAATCTTTAAATAATTTTGCTATTGGAATTGGCAATAGCATAATTATTGGCTGCTTTGGCTCGCAGTGCAGACAAACTAATTGGCAGTTATCATCAGTTGTAACTGTGATCTGATTTCATGTTGGACACGGTGTGAGAGGTTTTCCACACAACAGCGGGACACAGTAAAACTGATTACCTCGCCGAGAAATCCCACTGTTTCCCTTTTGTCTTGCTTCTTTATTCATTTGAGAATGTTAAAAATGATCATGAGGCGAAAACAATCCAGCATGTTGCATTTTAAGGGCACGTTTTATATTCATAGTATCAAGTAAGTGATAGCAGAAGGAAACTGATTACAGGTATTCATTTCCTGTAAATCCCACTGTATATGCATGAGCAGAAAACCTTAATACAGAAAAGGTGCATTCTACCATAGAAAAAAAAAGTTTAATATCATTACGACATTGTAGCTGAGAAACAAAGATGTTTAAAAAATCTGTTGACTTCATTTTAGTTTGATAGATCATATGATAAACCTATTTTGATTTTTGCATTGCTATCCAAAATGTATGTCAGTCAAAAAGAAATCCAAAACATTTTAACACCAACAAAATGACTGTCCTTTGCTTGAAGGACATTAAATGATTTGGCTCAATCTGATTTGGAAAGCAAAATGATCAAATGTGCGGTTGGGATCAGAACGCGACATTAGAAATCAGACTGGATAGGCTCAGACAATGCCTATTAAAATGGCTGGAGGAGCTTCTCTGAAATCAGAGCTGACATCTCTTTTCCACAGCCTGTCAGGAGTATCTGGTCGCTAATTTGAAACCTACAAAATCCACATGTGCGCGTCTCTGAGAAGAGAAGGAGAAAGATAGGGTGCTCCAGTGGGAGGTTAATAGAAGAGGTGACCAAAAAGAGATGCTGTGGGCTGTTATCTGCTGCCAGAGAGAGAACAAGTAATCCATTGGCTGGATTGTAGCTGCAGCCCAAATCTATCCAGTTACCATCTAATGAGCCAGCAAGTACATTGTATTTACATTTAAACTGGCTGTTCTGGGACCATTCTTCCCTCGGGTTGATTGGGGAGTTTTTAGTCTTTGATTCGCAACGACCTTCCGGATTATTTGATTTCTCCTTTTTTTCAGCAGCTAATGTCAGTCTTTCTGTCTGTCTATCGCGTCGGACCTGCTGCCGCTGTGACACGGGTGTCTAGATTCCCGGCTAATTCCTCCATAGTTTGACTCAGAACGCACAGCCGCGCCAGAGGGGGCCTCATTAGGACCAAAAACGATGTGTGACCTTTAAGCTGCTTGGTGGTCTTACAGCACCTACACCCTCACCCAGCTGAGCTCAATTACCTCGCTCATTAACCCCCCCCCAAACAACACCGGGACCGAGCAGGTACCGGAGCCATCCGAGAAAAGCCTGCGACCAAATGCAGGGGTGGCAACAGGCACTGAAAATGAGAGGGGCTGGAAGAGGTTTTTTCTTTTTTTCTCCCCATTCTTCTTTTCTCCGACTCTTTATACTTTGGAGAGTCTAAATGTATATTTGACCTTTCCAGCTCTCTGCTTTCTTTTTGCTCATTTCGGCCATCCCCCTGAAATCCCTGCCTGACACCTAATATAGAAGATGTCCTCTCTGCTGCCATGTTCAGGGCATGATAGGATGATCAATGTTTGCAGAATCCTTAATAACCAGAAAGAGAAAAGGCGACATAGGAAGAGCGAGGGAGATGGATGATTATCCTAAAAGTAGCGTCCTTAATTAGATAGAATTCTGCATACATTGTGGACTGAGAGGAATCATTGGGATAGATTAAAACGCTAATTAAACAGGCCCATTGCCGAATTTAGAGTGTGTGGTGGGGTTCAGCTCTTCGGGGTTATTTGCATAGCCTTCATCTGGGGAGATGGGATTTAAAGGACCTGCTCCTTTCAACTCTTTCTCCTTTTCTACATTACCAGTCACATTCACATGCAAACAAACTCAATTGAATGTATGCTCTTTCTTTTTTGCTTTTCACTCTATGATTTGGTATAATCAATTAAAGTCCCTTTGATTTTGTTTTCCAATATAAATGTTTCCATCAAAGTGAGAAGGGGATGCTCAGCACAGGCAGGAGGAAAAAGTCGGTAAAATTGTGTGATCTTGAGCGATGGATATTTAACGTCGCCTCACTTTGGTTTGATTTGCATGAGAATACTCTTGGTGAACAAAGCTTTGGAAATAGCATGCCATATTTGATTACATCAGAAGATCTGAGGATCAAACTCGGGTGGTGTATTAATTACTGTAAGAACAAAGGCAGGAGCTCAAGTTATTGTGTGCAGTGAATCTACAAGCACTTCATCTGCTTTCTGGTAATCTTCAGTAGGTCTGGATCATTATGTATAATGATAGGTGCATTTTAATTGGTATGTTAATTGAGCATTTATAGTTCTTATCCTGTTTGTAGTGGGACTCCATTGTCACGACTTTGGTGCCATAATAGATATTGCCTTTAAATAAATTTGGTTTCTACAGGATAAAGCCAACAGACAATCATCTATCAGACGTGTCTATTGTGTCATCATGAAATACTGTAAAAAAAAACAAAAAAAACACAACACCTATATAGATTTTGGTGATAGTCAGATTTGATCAAATGTAAATGCCTGCTCCTCTGCAGCTTTAGTTTAGGCCTAAACACTGAAGCTAACCCAGGCTACAATTCATATGTTGACTTGCAGACTAAGCTAATCCAGTCAACTTTATTTTTGCTTGCCTTAAATCTATTAAAATTCTTTATTCAAATGCTTGACAAGTGTTTTTATGTTATGGCTAAAAATGCACGGCCTACCTGTTGTGCTGAGTAAGTATCTTTGGAAGTCATAACACATGCCCTCATGCACCTGGCCGGCGAGTGTAATACATCTCAAACATAACCATGCAGCTTTCTACAAGTTAGACTAGTTCATCCGGTGCTGCATCTACAAGATGAATAAAGAATACAAGTCTGCATTCCTTTAACTGTTTGCTTTTTTCCTACAAAAGTTTAAATGTGAGCTGTAACCTGTCCTGTCAAGATCAAGTTAATCAGTTGCAATTTCTCCTGCTGTTATTGCATTTTTCAACCTTTTGCTGTCGCCAATCCAACTTTTTTTAGTCTTGCCATGTCGAAATTAACATAAGCTCATATTTTTCATGAAATAAACTGTATCTTTTCCAGCATTTAATGTGTTTTCACTTTCACTTATCAATATAAATGTTGGTTCTTACATTTTTCACTGTGTCTCATTTTTTCAGAACTGGGGCTTTATTTGAAGCACATTTATGTGCAAAATTCTCTAAAAACAGTAAATTCAGTGACAAAATCTTCTCTTGTTACTTGTTGAATGACCACGTTGCCTGTCTCTTATTTCTAAGTTCAGATACAATGTATTTTCATCCCAAGGGGTTTGAAGACTTCTTGTCCTGTTTTTGAACATTTTCCCCTTTCTGTGTGGGCAGGATATTTTCTATGACCGGTTTGACATTTGACTAAGGCTGATACATCTTTGCATCATTGTCAGTTTCAGTGACCATTCGTTCCGTCTCAGGAATTGGAAAAAAAAAATGTGTTTCTTTGTCATCCACTGCTGAAACTCACCACACACCTCCTCTGCTCTTGTCCCCTCGTGCAGTCCAGCAGAAGCAGCAGCTGGAGAAGGAGACAGGCCTGAAGATAGTGGAGGCCGGAGTTAGTGATGTAAGTCAAATTACCTAAAAATATCTGCCATTTAGCAATGTGAGTTCAGATAGGAAGCGGGAGAGTGTGTGTGTTTGTGTGTTTGTGTGTGTGTGTGTGCCCTCTATGTGTTTGGGCTCATGAAACAGAAGTAACTCAGTGATTTCAAATGATCTTGGCACCTGCATCACACCTGCAGTTTCAGCTGTGCAACCAGCTACTAATGTTTTTCAGTAATTAATTCCTCATTTTCTTTTAAATGCACCACTTTGATTATTATCCCAGTGATTTATTTCCTTTAAGCCTTTTAAGGGCTGCAGTCACCATGGCAAATAAAAAACAACAAGACCAAAAGCCCAATGCACTTTATGACACTCGACACGAGTGTTGATCACAGCCTCGGAGCAACAATAACCAGATTATCATGAAAGTTGTCACTTGTCAGGAGCCGTAATGCTACGGTGACATATTCATTGGAAAAAATTAAGAGAGGAGGAGGACGAGGAGGACTCTCAGGTCCAGATGAAAGGAGAGTAAATGTGCATTTATTCAACAGTGATAAATATTCATATGTATCAAAGGTAAGGATCTAATCAAGCACCCACTGATGCGTCATAGCCCTCCATGCTTGCCTGTTAAATTAGTTTTTCTATGGAAATGAGACAGACAGCCTTAGACCCCTGAGCTGCCCTGATCCTGAGGCATGCTGGGAGCTAAGTGGATGTGGCCTGTGCACTGCAGGACAGTTGCCAATGGCAACAACCATTACATGCTGCCTAGACAAGATCATTTTCCTGTTAGTTTAGTCTCTCTTGTCTCCTTTTAGGTGCCTTTCTTCACCCATCTGCCTCCATTTTATACCTTTTTATGCATCATAATTTCACTCGTCTAATACCAGTTGTTCCTTTATCACGTTCCTCTGAATTATTTCCAGTTCATATTTTTCCCTTTTTTCCCACTGTGACTTTTGTCCTATTTTTGTCTGTCCCTCTTTGGCTTTCTTTCTTTCTTTTATTCCCACTCAGAGTGATTCCTGCGCTTAGCCGGCACTGGTACAGGGCTGTGTTTGTCATATTGGGCCTATTTGTAGATAATTAGCAGCAATAATGGCCTCTCTGCTGGAGACACGGTGAGGGAGGGATGAATAGAAACAGTGAGGGAGGAAAGGGAGAATCTGTCTTCCACCTCATGGGGAGGAAAATCTGTGACCGAATGTGTGTGTAGAGATGTGTTTTAATGAAGCAAAGCGGTTACTGTCCAACTGATAGTTGGCAAAGTAAGAAAATCCCTAAAACTCAATCAGTGTGTTTTGTGAGCAATGACTCTAATGTGGATGTGTTGTCCACACCAGTACCTATCCAAGTAGTGGAGAGTTGGGGGTAAGTTAGAGAAAAATGTAGCTTTTGACAAGAGAGCAGGCAGAGTGGGCTCTTCAAATACATTAGTTTAAAAGGTGTTAAGACAAAAGCTGCTTTTAGTAAATTTGCTCTAAATTGACCACACTTATGAGTGAATGCGAATTAGAGGTTGCAAAGAGCTTCTTCTTCAGTTTGCCTATTAGCAACAGAAATAGAAATGCGCTAGATTAAATTGCTCTATAAATTAATTACAGGTATAGAGCAGGAAATTATGCAGGACAGTGCATAGCGTCTGTTCTTTCTTCTTAGTTTGTATAAAACCATCACAATGGTTTGTACCACGAATTCTTATCACTGACAGGTCCTCTCTCGTTGGTTTTTATTTAAGAGGTGACAAATGACAAAACAGCTTAGGAAGATGTCCAGATAGGGCGAATGTCAATACTAGTAGATGCGAAAGAGGATAAGCAAATGTCAAAGTGGGGAGGAGGAGACATTGGTCAATAAGCGGAGCAATATCTACTGCAGCAATATCTGCTTATAGATCGTATGGAAATTGGCTTACTGCCAGGGCAGAAATAACAGGGTGTATTTCTAACATAATGCCTCTATGCGTGGCCCATAATATATTTTCTGTTTTTATCAACCGCACTCTACTAAGTGCGAGCTGCACTCTTTTGGAAAGTAATAAGTCTGTAAATGCATTTTAAAAGTGGAAGGCAGAGAAAATATTAAATCGAACAAAAGTAATGGTTGATGTGTTCTAAATGCAAACATGAAGTGGTTGCAAGAATACATATATTTATACTGAAATACGGGTCATACATAAAGAGCGTGTTAAATAAGACATTTACCATTCCATGTGTGGAAAATAAGAATAAACCCTGGTGCAATTCTAACATAATAATTCCTAAAAAATTGTGTGACCATCTTGCTTTCCTTCCTGCGCCTTCCCCTTCTGAGTTACATCAACAGCTGGAGATCAGGCAAAAGATGCTGACAGCCAGAGACGCAGCAGGACTTATACCAGCAGTGTCAAGAGGAGAAGTAATGGAATAAAATGGAGGCTCAGACAAGATCATTTGTGGTTTGGTTAGGACATGTGAGTCTGGTGTTTTTATACTTATTATAAAAACATTTTTGATAAACAAATGTTCATGAGTCCTCATATTGTATGCAAGTCCATATTTAATAGCTTCCTGCATTCTGAAAAAAATTAGTGTGAGTGAATGACCTTTAAATATTGCTCACGCTTCTGAGGTGATATTTAATCTACAAAATGATTTTCCCTGCTTAAATATTCCTTAGTCAATTAGAATCTTAATGACCCTAAACTTGCTCAACGACTAAAGACCACGCAAAGATTTACACAAGTGTACGGAGGCCTTCCTCAAAACTGGAAAATATCATGTTTAGAAAACAGCGGTAGGGATTGCTCCAACAGCACAGAACAGAAGAGATATAATAACATTTTTCTATTATGTCCTTTCCATGCCAACATTTCCAAATGAAATGAACTGAGAGTGGATTTCCATGGCCGGTCTCTGTGCAAGAGACGTTTCCCCTGTGATTAAGCTGGTGGTTAAATTGAGATTCATTGACATTTTGACAACAGTCTTATGTTCGGGAAAACTCTGGTAAACTGCTTATGTGAAGAGGTACTCATTAAGCATAGAAATCCCAGAGCTGCATGTCAACTGATTATTCAACCACTTAATGTAAATCATATATGGCAGATGATAAGTCTTTACACTGTGTGTGTGTGTGTTCTTCATGTGTATTGAACTCACGTAGTATAAATATTTTTCATACCTGCAATGATTGCCCTTAACACTTACTGCTTGCAATTTTCTGGGTTTATTTATGCATTTCTTATGTTTGCTGCATGCTCATTACATGCCTCATTTTCTATTGTACCTACAATTGATGAGATTTTTTCCATTTGATTTCCTCTCCAGAAATGGATGTAGGTTAAATCAACAGATGTTATAATCTCACTAGGCCAGTCTGGAGGGGGAAAAGTGTAGAATTTCACCATCTTATGATGGCCAAAAGCGCACATTATCCTCTTAATCAAATGACAAAGTGCAGAGGCACAGACACAGAACTCATTTCAGAGAAAGGTCACATGTAATGATGACCCCTCGAGATGGATCTGAAAGCTTTCATTCCAATATCCTGTGCCATTCTTAACATGACATGAACACCCTCTGACAGACTTCCTTAAAAAATACTGAATAATTGTTCAAATGTCCTTTATTTCAGCAACTGAATGTTTCATCTCATGCACACGGTAGGCTGGTCTACAGAATGTTTCCCTCGGAACAAATTTTTAGTTATCATCTTTGAATAAACCCCCATTTAGGGAACATGCTTTTATTCTTTGTTCAGCGCCTGGAGCTCAGTGATTTTGAGACGCAGTACTGTATTACATATAATGGGCATTGTGCAGCGAGAAAATACGCTTTTTTCCTAGCTATTGGTTGGATAACCTGGTTACCATGTTAGTGATAATGGCACATGCTCCTGTGAAAATTCCTACATCATTCACGTGAACACAAATGGAAGTTCTATTCTAGTGATTTGAGGATGCCCGAACAATGATGGTTCTATAAGCTTAACCAAGTTGCTTTGTTGGCGGAGCCAGGGCTGGCCCCCTCTGAACACAGGGCCTCATGGTGCGTCAGGGGCCTCATTTTACATGCAAATTTGTCAAAGTGTCACTAATGCAATCAGTTGCGAGGTCATCCAAGCCATTTCTCCAGGAGCACACAAGTTAAATCAAGTCAGTTGATCAAGTTTTGAAGGAGAGGGTAGAACAACACGATAGACTTTGCCATGAGAAAAATAATCAACAATATCAGAATGTAGCCAGTGACTGCACAGAGCAGGGAACTGCTGAATTATATCTTAAATTCCGGCAAAAACAAAGAAAAGAAAACACAACAACAACACTCCTGAGTGTCACCAAAAGGTGCTGAATTATTTTGTCTCAGATAAAATGAGAATCTTTTACCATATTTTCACTCTTTAAATACTCTTCTTGGCATAACATGGGTGAAATATTTTATAAAGACAGATTTCTGTATATCCAAAGGATGTTTTGTAATTCATTTTAATCCCAGTGTCCAGTGTTGAAAGGCATCACTCCCCAATAGCTACCTTTTGAAATTTGGTTTATAGTTACTGAATACCAAAAGATGCATCTTTGTTTTCTTAGTTAATGCTTAATAGTTAGTTAAATTACGTTGATATTGATACCTTTGCTGGTCTGCATTGCTACAGTTATTTAGGAGAAAGTGTGTCAAGGATCCCAGAAAAGCTAAAAGAAAAAAAACGATTAATTGTTTTTTTTTTAACAACTTAGAGCTGTTGCAACTTCAGCATCACCACAGAAGTTTGATCATGTTTAGTTTTGTCGCTACAAGAATGCTAACTGGTGTTAGCAAATATCTTACCTCAACCCCTTTTATTTTTCAAATCTTTTTAGCGTTACTTTGCTTAATCCGACAAATCTAACATAATGTTCTCTGGTGTCATGCATCCTTTTTTTATATCGATCAGACACAATCAAAATTTGAGCAACAAAAGCTACATTTGTTCAAAGACACTTAATGCACTCATTGGGATCTAATATCTTCTGGTGCATAGATGATCACATTAAATTAGCATTTTTTTCTATGGAAGGCTTTTTCGCATGAATATTTATTTCCATGTTTTTCTATATCAGACAGTATCAGTGCATTTTGCTTTCCTTTAATCTACCAAAGCCTGAATATTGTAGTATATTCCACTTGTGCAACCACCAGCGACTGCAATTTCCCCGAGCAAATGGGACAAATCATTTCAGCAGAGACTTCAAAGTAAAACTACACTGACCCTTTCCTACCAGAGAGAAGAGACGCACAGACTGAAATAAATAAATAGCTGTGACAGGAGTTTTGCAAATTGGTCCTGTATACGCTTTGCTTCAAAACATGGTTTTGCATGTTGGTTTTACAAACTTTCAGAGTGGTGAGATAAGAAAATACATTTTCATGTTGATTTCTTATGCTCATTCTCATTTAATGTGCTCCAAGAAAAGATCCTGTCTGGGTGGCTTGGTGGCATTGCAGGCTATGTGCTTTGTCCCTTTGTGCGCACAAAGGATGCATTTGTCAAGTGTGTATTTGTAATAGCCAATCAATTGCACATTGCCCCTCAATTGCTTCCTTCTCATTGACAACCTATCTAATCTTCTCCAGACATTGTAATAAAAACCAAACAATACAAAGAAGAAGAAAAAAATACCGTCAATAAAAATTTCAACAGTGCAAGAAGGCCAATCTGGCTGTTTTAAAAGTGGCTAAAATGCCATAGCTGTGGCAGATCTGGATGCGAAATGTCATATTGGAGCAGCCCCACTGAGCCTGCAGCCCTGAGTAACGCTGCTTCTTTGGAGACTCCAGCTGCCTCCCACTGATGAAAGCCCGTCCAGCAGCTCTGTTTTTCAGCAACCTTTTACCATCACCTGACCTTTGGACTGCATAAATGCCTTTGATACCATGCCATGCAGTTTGGTATTTGCCTCTCTCTATATATCCTGACGCTTCCTCTCCCCGAGGAAAGGATGGACTTGTCTGTTTTTAATGAGTGTCAGAATGTAAAGTGTTTACTCTTCTACCTTTTCCTGCTTTTATGTTGTGCTGCCTTTGTTAAAAAAGGTGTTGTAACTGTGGAGTGGGCAGTGGTATTTTTCTTTGCTTGTTGAAGGGCAATTCTTCCATCTTAGGTAGTATGGCATGCTCATCTTTTTCTGGAAGCAAAAAAACTTCGGCCAAGCTGGCCTTGAACATATGACAAAAGTTTAGATATATTAAAGCTAAAAAATACAGTCACAAAACTTTTTCCTCTGTTATTTAGTCCACTGAGTAGTCAAATCAATAGCTCTTCAGCCTCACAAACCCAAAGGTCCTTGGCACTGTATAATGTTCTGACCCTTTTTTAATTGATTTAAATCATTAATTAA